CCTCCGGGGCAGGCGGGAATTGAACTCATGCGGAAGTGGCTTTAGATTCTCAGTGCTGTGCTTTAACCCGCTGCGCCACCAGGGAGGGCCTAAACAGTTACTTTTTAAAAGTAAAAAGTTCTGTAATCTCTCCCCTCCAAATTATTAAAACCCCTTCTATGCTGGTAATGAGTACCCTGCAGACATTCTGCAGAAGAGCATTGGATGGGCAGGGAAAAGTGGGGGGGCTGAGGGCACTGTGGCAACTCAGGAATGAAAGTCAGGGTGGACCGGCTCAGCAGAGGCCACAGGCCAAGGACCTACTGGCTAAGGGGGAGCAGAGAAGGGCACCCCAGTCTTGAAGAACTGGGTGAGTAGGTATCTTATAGGTAAGTGGAGCCTGTGAACTCCATGACTACGAGTGAAAAACCCTGTTGGGCAAATGGGGAGAAAGAACAAGGCTCAGGTGAGGAGCAGGGCTGGGCACAGAGGATTTTGGAATTGACCACACAGAGCTGGAGATTTTTGAGGGAGAGGGCAAAGGAAGACCTTGGTTTGGCCCTACGGGAGGTTGTAATTAGGAGGCAGCAGCAGAGTAGGACTTGCAGCGGCCTCTGGAAACTCCTGTGAGCAAAGCAGCGCCTGGTCCTGGAGCCCAGGTGCTCTGAGGCAGAAGTGACCTAACAGGTCTTCAGATCTATCAGTAGTACTTGTCTCACGCTTGAGGACCCAATTCCTGGGAAGCAGCCTCCAGACACACAGTGGTGGGCGCACCTCTCCCGGAAAGAAGATCCATGTTTTCCTGGCAGCCTCCCTGCCTGTGATTAGTCGGCTGTGCTGACAGCAAAGTGCCTCCGGTGGTGAGGCATGCAGCCTTCCTTGGCTTCACCTCCTGGCCTCGGTAGAGAACTGGAGTGTGGCCACAGGAAGCCCTCCCGAATGACATGCTCCCTGGGTCTCAGGACTCCTCACTCCAGACACCAGGTGAAAGGTTGTGTGTCTGCAGCTCCAAACTTTTGTCCCCAAAGTTCTTGAATTATCTCACTTGACCCTCTTCTCCCTTGAGATCCAATATTCATCCCCTTTTCAAAGAAGAGGAAGCTGAATAATCTTCAAGAGACCAAGCAAGTTGCCCAAGGTTACATTGGTGTTGAGGATAAACTGGATTTAGACTGGCATCCACCTCCTGGACCTCACCCTTCTCTCAGCAACCTGAGCCTTGGGGCACAAGGGCCTTATCACAGAGGCAAGGGGGAGCCTGGTGAGCTGGGGCCTAGATGAGCATGGAGGTAGATTGTCTCGTGAAAGGAAGTGTAGTCATCCTCATCCTTCCAGGAATTCCCCTGCCAGGAGGGTTTCCTTCAGACCCCGTGCCAGTTAATGTAGACAACAGGCCCACAACCTTTGCCTCCCTAATAGCTGGAGATACAAACTCTCCCTGCTGAGGCCTGAGAGGCTTACCTACCCTTTGGTCCCAGAAACACTTGCGCCAAGGTTCATGTTAGGTCCATGGTGGCCCCCCAAGTCATACCCTGCCTGCCTGGGTTTGAACCCAGCCATTACTCATAAGCTGTGTCCAAGTGACACGCTGTCCTGGGAATGAGGATAATACTGACAGTATGCGTCGTGGGGAGTCAGAGTGGCCACGTGCAGACCTCTGGAGCCTGCACATGGTGAACGGTCAGTCGAACTGTCTGAAGACGCCATCCTTGTATTTACTGCTCTGAACCAGGGGGACATGGATCAATGGTGCAGCCTTAGTACCTCCAGTTCAATGTCAGCAGTCACTGATATCCTGAAACCACCTCCCAGCTCCATGGCTGGGCACGAGGTGTGCCAAAGCCAGCTGACAAACTGGAAAAGTCTGTACTCTTCTCAAGGAGGGTACTGACCAGCCAGTTATTGCCACATGAAAACTCGGGTCACGTTGCCCCATCTTTGGATTTTCTAAAGAAGCAGGAAATTATGTGAAAAGTGGTAAGTGGTTCAGCTAAGGAAAAAAAAAAATCAAACTTGTGTGTGAGCCTCAAGGGTGCAGCTTTGCTAGAGACTCCTGGCCTGGGGCTGGGCAGACTTTTGCGCCCCAGGAGGAGGGGAGAGAATAGCAGGGTCTGGCTCTGCCCCCAAACCTCTCCAATCCCTCCTCTACCCTCTCTCCTTCAGCTGGGTTTCAAAGAGTAGAGGTCCCACCTCAGCTGATTTTGGTAAGGAGGAGATGGGAGAAGGGCTGTGAGAACTAGGTAGCTCCTGCCCTAAGACTGTCCACCTGCGTCTATGCAGCATCTCTTTTTCTTAATAAACTTGCCTTTTAAAACAACAAACAAGGCCATGAGAACTGGAGGCCCAGGTAACCTGGTCTGTGGGAGGCCAGCCATGTCACTGGATTTTTAAAGGTTTCTCCTGCTACAAGCAGGGTGCCCCCTGAGCTACTGGGAAAGGCTCTTGCCCTTCTTGGTCAGGGAGCCCCACTGACTTCTCTCCTGGGTCTCAGTTTCCTTTTTTCTGAGGGAAGTTACCAGGGAAAGAGGGGCCAGTGAGGCTGGGGCCTGGGGCATAGGATCCCACAAACCCTGTTCAGCTGGGCTTGTCCCCTCAGTCCAAACACCCCTTGCTGCAACTTACTGTCCCGTTAAAGCCATCTGTCTCTGACCTCCAGCCCCTTGTCCCACCCTCACCACCCAGGTGCCTGAGCCCCGACAAAGAGGCCAGGCCGCTGGGGACCAGCAGCCACCAAACCGGAGACAGGGCATTTCTGCAGCTGCTGCCGAGCGGGTGAGATGGAGAGTAGCCAGAAATCCGGAGACCCCCAGCTGGCATCTGGGCTCCCCTAATCACCGGCTCCCGCTGAAGACAGAGAGGGGTGTCGTCTCCGCCATCTCCCTGCTCCTCGTCCTCTTTTTTTTTTTCCCAGGCTGTGGGAGGCAAAGGGTTAAATCCCATAGAGCTGATGCTCTGACTCCAGGCTAGAGGGGCCCGGGAAGCTGGGGTCACTTCCTGCTCCGTCCCAGTCACCCTGAACTGGTCCCCGGGTCCTCAGCCTGGGATCACCCCTGGAGAAGGACCCCAGAGTCCTCGGCCTCCAGCCCGCCCCCCCGAGGCAGGGCGTTGAAGGGGTTAAGTCCCCTGGGGCTGGATTCTACCTTCCGGCTTTTCCCAGACCCCAGAGCCGTGAGTTGGGGACGTCTGGGTTCCAGGGGGGTGGCCTGGAGGGCCCGGGACGGCCGCGGGGGAACAATGGGGCGCGGGCGGCGGGGGCCGGCCCGGGTCTGCACCCCCTCCCCGCCGGGCGGCCGGGGCAGGGTGGGGGCCGGGCCAGGGCCGCCGGGGGCCGAGGATTCTGGGAAGAGCGCGAGGGTCTGGCTGTGGGGGAGGGGAGGCGTGAGCATTCTGGGAAGAGGGAATTCGGCCCGGCGGCCGGGGGCCCGGGTGGCCGCGGGAGGGCCGGGGATCCGGGGTGCCCCGGGGGCCGATGAGGGCGACGATACCAGGGTCTGGAGGGGGAGCAGGAGAGGGTCGCGAAGCAGCTGCAGCTGGAGTCCAGGGTCAGGATGGTGCGGCGTGGGGGGGCCTGGGACGGGTGGCCGCCTGCCCGCCGCCTTCGCCTCAGGGTCACCCTGGGCGCGCTCGCACCTCTCCTCCCCGCTCGCCCTCCGCAGGGGGGCTGGCACGAGGGCCGAGGCCGGTGTTCGGGGCTTGGGCCTGGGTCGGCTCCCAACACTTCTTGCCTCCCTGGTCTTCCTACTTCCATACTCCATGTCGGCCTTCTCATTAACCCCTTCCCTTCTCATTAACCCCTTCCCTTCTCTGGACCGCTGGGTGTGAATTTCTCGAGACAACCAGGGTACCTGAGCGCTTATCTGTCCTCAGCTAACAGCCAGGCACCATTTCAGGCCCGCTGGGAGCAGTCAAACCCACCCCGGCTTAAAGGAGGACCCTGCTTCCACTTTCCCCTAGACAGAGGTGGGGGAGGGGGGTTCTCAGAGTCAAAGAAGCTGCAGAGATGAAATTAATTTACTTCCTAAAAGCTAACTCCTTTCTCCTCCTGCTGTCCGGCTGGGTTCAGCCAGCTCCTGCTTTAATGGCCTCATGTCTGCTGCCTCCACAGCACTTAGCATTGTCTCCGTGCACCAGTGGCCCCATGAGCACAGTGCCCATCCCAAAGCCGGGGGCCCTCCATCGGGATCCTGAAGGGTCTAACCAATGTGGGAAGTTCCCCTCCCTCAGTTCCCCTGAGTGCTAGGCCCTCATTCTGGAATCACTACTGAGTGACAGCTGGCCAGGTTTGACCATGGGGTTGCTATAGCTTTGGTTTCTTTACTGCCACCCCCTTGCAACCAAACCTTTAAAGGCACTGGACCAGAGAGTTCTTCCAGGAGTGGGGAGCATCTCATGCCTCATCTTTTGATCACTCAACAAAATTTATTGAGCATGTGGTATGTGTGAGGCAATGTCTACAGCACAGGATACAGCAGCAACAGAACAGCACAAATGGAAGAGAAGAAAGGTCTCAGGAGGGGCCCGGTGGCGGAAGGCATGGCGGGTTCATAGACAAGGACTGTCAGGCCGTCACTGGGTCCCACCCGTCCTTTTACAGCTGAGACGGCCTCTGGCTCCCAGGGATTTCTCCATCCCTTTCTCGTGACCACCTGCTGCGTGAGCTTCCTCATCACCTGCCAGTTGCCAGCAGCCTACATTTATGAGCTTCATGCAAGTCCCAAGGTCATCTCCCTCTCTGAGAGGCAGGGGCAAGCCAGACACAGAGCTTGGCATTTCTGGTCTTTACCACGTCCCAGCCCATGACCTTGGAAAATCTCCCTGGGCACTGACTTCTTGATCTGTAAAACAGACAACATGATTTCTGGGTCTGCTCTCCAGATTGTGGGTAGGACTGGGTGAGCACACTGTGACATCACAGCAGGGCCTGTATTCCCTCTCTCTGTTTCTTTCCTTTTACCTCTCCTGGGAGTTTGTGCAGAAACCTCTGCTGACTTTCAACCATCACTCTTCCTCCCTCCTGCCTGAACTTTCTGTGCCTGGATAACAGGAGAGGGCCTCCCCCATACCCTCAGGGAAATTGGTTTCTTTTTTCTTCTTTTTTTTTTTTTAACCCTTTAAGTGTTCCAGGCTGTCTCAGTTCTCTGTGGTGCTCATAAGGAAAGTTTATTGGTCCCAATTAGCAGCCCCATTAAGGAGGAAAATTAGAGACTTAATGAGCTTCCTCTGATTAGCAAAATAACAGGTTTTCGAGCCTCTGGGCATCGGAGGTGTGGGGTGAGAGCCTCCTTCCCCTGTGGGTGTCAGGTACCTCTCCAGCCCCCAGTCTGGGTCAAGGGGTTATGACTGATGAGCATTTAATTATTCTTAAATTCACCTACTTGCTTACTTGTGATCTTAAGATCTGGAGGAGGAATCAGGCCTGCTGGGGGAGGATGGTGAGAACCCAAGCCTAAAACAGGGAACCTGAAGCTCACAGGTGAGAAGTCAGGACCAGTGGGAGAGGGGCCCCCATTGTGTGCTCATCTCTCTTCTCCCCCAGGGTCCCTGGAACTGGCAGTCCTGAGCGCTGGGATGGAGCCCGAGACCGCCCTGTGGGGCCCAGACCTGCAGGGTCCTGAAGACAGCCCAAATGCTGCTCACAGAGGTGAGGGCCAGTGGGCCTGACAGGACCGTTGCCACAGTTCAGGGAGGGGTCCAGACTCTGGGGGAGCCCATGGGAGGGAAGAGAGACCCAACTCCATATCTGAAGGAGATGGGGACTAGAGACTCCCTTTCTCTCTACAGGTGCTGAGAGTGGGAACGAAGAGGAGAGCGCTCAGCAGGAAAGTTCTGGGGAGGAGGTCATCTTGGGAGATCCAGCTCAGAGTCCAGAATTCAAGGACCCACCAGAGATGCCCCTGGAGAGACCCTCCCAGGATCCCTCCATCCCCCAGGATGCTTCAGCACCAGTGGGTCACCCCAGTCCCTTGGAAACCCCCACCCCGGAGGCAGTCCCTACCCCATCTGACTGGACCAAGGCCTGTGAGGCCAGCTGGCAGTGGGGGACCCTGACCACGTGGAACAGCCCCCCCGTGGTCCCAGCTAGCGAGCCCAGCCTGCGTGAGCTGGTGCAAGGCCGCCCTTCGGGCGCGGAGAAGCCCTACATCTGCAACGAGTGTGGCAAGAGCTTCAGCCAGTGGTCCAAGCTGCTGCGGCACCAGCGCATCCACACGGGCGAGCGGCCCAACACCTGCTCCGAGTGCGGCAAGAGCTTCACGCAGAGCTCACACCTGGTGCAGCACCAGCGCACGCACACGGGCGAG